GATGCCCTTTCGTGCCGTATTCATGATAGATGCTACCTTACTTGAGACCGTTAACCACCGTAATTTGTTTCAGCATGTCACCATGACAACCCGCATTGTTACCGACCAGACGCCGAACATTCTGGACCTTGTGGTCACCCCAGCTCAGTCAGATGTAAGGAGTTTAACAGTTCTTCAAGTCATCGGCAAAAGCGATCATTGTGTCGTTTCATTTAAATGGACACGTCGCTTCAGGACCCATTTCTAAGGTGGTTGCCGTCGGAACTTTTGACATGAGAATCCACTCCGTCGGAGAACAGTCGCTAGCACAATGGACTGGAGTATTCCTGATCCCATTCCACTTCACGATGCGTGGAACTTTGTGATCTACAAAATGACGTCTCTAATTGAGCAGGGCGTTCCTTTCTCCCGTAGAAAGTTCATCAAGAGCGGTTCATATGGGATTGACAGTTAATTGAGATCCCTGATAAACAGAAGAAGCAAATAGTGGGATCATTTCAGACTATCTCAAACAGAGTCCGATTACTTTTCCTACAAGACTATCAGGAATGTTTGTGTCACGTTGAAGCGACAGAAACGTCAAATATATAAACTATCATTAGCAGAACACACCAGACCGACACGCAAAACGCTTTTCTCCTATCTGAAAACAAGCACTAAGGCCGGCATTGGCATCCCTACCTGTGAGCATCGAAATTTACTTCACGAAGATGTTGATAAAGCCAGTCTTTTAGTCCAGCAATACGCTTGTCTTCGCGAAAGAAACTCCCTCCTGCGGCAACACTGTATACAATTTTGTTAAACTGCTGGATCAAATAGACATTAGCTTAAATTTTGTGGTTAAACTTCTTGATTTAGATCTGTATTCTTCACCTGGTCCGGATGGGTTGCACCTCCTGTTCCTTAGGACTGTGGAGGAGTACATAACCCCACCTATCTGACAGGTTTTCCGTGGTTACTTTGAAGTTGGGCGACTCCGTCGGCTTGGAAAGTGGGCATTATCAAATCTATATACAAAGGAGGGAACAGGCAAGATGCAGCCAGCTATTGTCCAATCTGCTCAACGTCGGTAGTGTGTAAAGTTGTGGAGCGGATTTTGAAGAAGGCTCTTCATCTCTACCTAGAGGAACTGAATATCTCTTATGCACAGCATGGCTTTCGAAGGGCAGGCTTATTTATCTCGAACTCGCTGGTTGCTAAGGAGAAATGGGCGAAGTCACTAGTTTCCGGTAAACGCATGGACGTTGTGTTCGTTGATTTCAGCAAAGCTATCGACAGGGTCCCGCACGAACGACTTTTGCTTAAACTAGGAGGAATCGGTATCGCCGAGAATGTTCTCTCATAGATCTCTGACTTCCATCGCGACTGCACACTGCAGGTGCAAGTAAACATTTTCCGCCCCTGTTAGCATAACAACTTGAGTTCCAAAGGGTTCTGTCTTCGGTTCCGTGCTTTTCAATGTCTTCATCAACGATTTACCGTCCGCACTAAAGGCGGATTGCCTAATAAACGCAGACAACCTGAAGCTGTAGATGGAGATATCCAGTGTGGAAGATGCTGACAGATTACAATCGACACTCGAACTGTTACATGATTGATCAATTAAGTGGCAGTTGCCAATGAATCGTGAGAAATGTTCGGTTCTTTCAGTTGGTGCGTCTGACCCATTTGGAACATACCATATTGGTGGTTCTCTGCTTAGAAGCGCCACTCAGAAGAGTGATCTGGGAGTGATGTTTTCGGCTGACCTCAAATCTAATCAAGACACCAAGAAAAAGGTCGCTGCGGTGCAGAGGATGTTTCATTCTATACATAGAGTCTTCTCTCGTTTGACCCCGGGGCTTTTCCGACAACCGTTTACTCCACATGTACGTCCGTTTCTCGAATACGGGCTACCTACCGCTTATCCTCTTACGACATTCGAATGATTGAGAAGATTCAACGGAGTGGATTTAAATCCATTCCTGAGCTGCGGGACCTGTCCTATCCTCTCCGACTAAATTACCATCGTCATCGCGATTTGATCTTCAACCGATGTACTCTTAGAGAAGAGTTGGAAAGGAAATTACTGGAATTCATTCATCTCAACACAGACAGTTCGACAAAAGGCCACAGTTTGAAAATGTTCAAACCAAGGAGTCATCGAGTGCGACGCAGCCTGGCTCTATCTACTCGTGTCGTTAATGACTGGAACCGCCTTCCGGAGTCCATCGTCAAAGCTCAGACCGAGGAACGTTTCAAGTATTTGTTAGATTCTCATATTAGTTTGCGGAGATCCAGCCGCAGCATATATATATGTATATATATATATATATATATATATATATATATATATATATATATATATATATATATATATGGTTGGCGGCATCCGGTTTCGGATTTGCCTGTCACTGTGGCCAGCCACAGAACGCCTGTGCCTACAGAGGGACCATGGGTGGCTTGCGCTGCACCACCCACAGCTCCAACCACACACCCCATACTCAGGTGTAAACCCGAAGGAATAAGACCGGGAGGCATGCGGATGGGAGCCACGTTTCATCAACGGAGCAGGCCCACACTCCTTCACCGGCAAACACAAGCACACTGTATTTGGGGAATCAAGTACACACAAGGCGGTGGCTGCACTGAGTGCATGGAACCACTCTTCGAGCCTAGCACGACCACAAGGACCGTGCACCCCGTCCCCTCCAGCAACGACCAACTGTCTCCTGGAGCCAGTATGGACGAGGTAGTGGGTAATAGACAGATAGGCACCCTGTCAACATGTACATCAAGCGCAGCCACACCTGGGATGTGAAACAACAGCCAATCATTCGAAATGACGATATCGATTAAAGTAAACGCATATGACGACATAAATACTCGCTAAATGAGCATATAGAAGAAATTGGGTATAAGTGAATCCGTGATAAGTACAGAATGTCCGAAAGTTATTTTAAAAATACCACGCGATAAAATTACGCAAGTTTACCACAATTTGCGTGGGCGACGTGTGCAAGTAGGGAGAAGATTATCAAGTACGCAGAAGGAACCAAATAACATTTAATGAATTTTATCCACATTAAAAAGACCTAGTTTAAGTGTAAGTTGGTTTAGCCCAACTGTGGTGAAGAAGCATCGTGAATGCAACATCAGCCTCAGCAAGGAAATATATATATATATATATATATATATATATATATATATATATGTTCGTTACAATTCCAGTCGAATTTCTAAAGAAATGTTGCCTTCCGATTTCAGAACAGCCCATACCGTCAAATCGATGGTGTGACAATGGGTAGCTCACAAGGCCCTGTACCTGCCGATTTTTCCTGTTGATGATAGAAGGAGACATATCCGCAGAAATAGCCCAGTTACCATACTATAAGCCTTCTGTAGATGACATGTTGGCCTTTGTTCATTGGAGCAGCAGACTGTCCAGTTTGTGCAGCAACTCAACTGTGCACATACCAACTTGCAGGCCACCTGCGAAGTGGAACACTAGAACTGTCTGCCAGTCTTAGACATCCTCATTAGTCGCAGGGATGACGGACTCATTAAAAGGTCTATCTACAGAAAAGCAACTTGGTCCGGCCAATACCTACACTTCACCAGCTTCACACCAGTGCGGTACAAGCGAACATTTGTGAAAACTTTAGTTAGTCGTGTTAGACGAATTTGATCGGCTGATTGTCTAGCCGACGAGCTATAATTACAACAACACTCGTTGCAAATGGTTATGCACGTAGATTTATAGAGAAACACAGCCAACAGCGAGGCCCGAAAGAGTTGGTGCATACAGCAGCCAAGAAAAAGATCTATATCGAGTTGCCTCTCAAGGGTGACTTTATTGTATTGAAAGCCATGAAACGTTTAATTTCTGCTACGCAGAGAAGTTAATATGCTGCTCAGGTTGTGGTCATCAATATAACCTGTAACTTACCGGTGC